AGAGAGAGAGAGAGAGAGAGAGAAGGAGAGAAGTGGAGACCAGTCAGAAAGCATGGCGTCAGCGGGAAAGCAACCATAGTAATATGCTGAGAAGTTTGTGAGCTACTTGCTTTTAATTAAATCGGCTATTTAAAAACCCCAAAAAGCAGAAAACTAAATCTTTAACAACACTTACATCTGTTTTTTTGACCGGTGTCATTGTTTCACAGAAGAAAGAGGCCACCCAAAATGACACATACGATTGTTCATCATGGGAAATAACACCAACAAAGAATAAGCGTAACATTCTGTGACATCTGCGTGTTATCTTCCCTATCCTATGATCCCGCATTATCCGTACTCACCAATGTCTTCACTGACTTCCTCTATAGCCGAACACGTCATTTCAATGGCTGCCATGACATCCTGTAACGGTTCACCGGACTCTGGAAAAAAGTATAATTAGACAAGACAAAGATGCAGGGTATCTAAGAAAAGCAATAATTCGGTCATCTTTGCTCTAATTTCAACAAAACTTCGAAAAAGTACGATTCAACCAGGAGGACGCCAAGTTTGGGTTTTTTTTGGTTGGTTGGTTGTTTTGTAGGTTTTTTGGTTGCTGGGTTTTTTTCGGGGTTTTATTTGTGTTGTTTGTTTTTGCCAAGTTTGTAAATATGAAGAAAATCAATCAACGTGTTCGAGAGATATCACGTTTTTAAAATTTCCCTCAGAATTAGGTACATCACAAAATTCTACTTTTTAAAAGCGTTCAGCTACAAGGAGTTTAATTTGCCCGTTCTAGTTTTTAGGACAAGCACGGTAAGAAACACAACACCCACATCAGATTGATATACTACCTCAACGCTCTGAGAAAGTTTGAGAGAGGCTTGGGGAGAAGAGTGTGTTATGCTGTAGAGTCCTGGATCCAGTGGCATAGGGGCCGCACCCCGTACGTCAAGAGTGTCCCTTGCATGTTTGCAAGAAAGGTTTGGGAAACACCTTATAACCCGAAAGTTTGCAAATGAATGGAATGGTCACCATATTCCGCCCTCCCCCTTTTATCCAACTTCTATAATTACCTTTGGGTTTTTTTCACCGTCTACGGAAATAACTCGCAAACAATCAATCAGTAACAGTTGAAACAATGTTAAACAGGACGTCCATAGTATTGACCCCAGAAACAATATGTCATGAGGTTATTCAACATTTCAATTGACGTATGAAGCTTATATGGAGAGAGATGGTAAACACCTGAAGACTAAATAGCCATCATCACCCCCCTATGTATATTTGGCAATAACAACTTTGTCCGAGTTTGTTCTTCAAAGCACAAATAGTCACTACATGCATTTGAAGTCGAACAATAGTATTATGGTTGATTTTTTCAAGAAATTGCAAAGTTTTACGTTTCACGCAATTTTATTAAGGTAGAATTTTTTTAAACTTCGTATCTTTCGAACATTGTTTATTTTCATCATACTGATGTAACGTTCCGCTGGTTGATTTTTTATTTCTTAAATTTTGGTAAACTTGGTACAAAGATGACTGAGTTGTTGCCCTTTAATTTTAAATGGGTCCTTTTTTACCAGACCCCCAATAGTAGGACAAGACGGAATCTGATCACTCTTTTTATCGTTCAAATTATGGACAGTTTGGTTCAATAGAGACAATTTTTTAAATTTCAGAACAATTTCTAAGTATATTAATAAAATTACTATGTAAGCCATTTTGTCAGTTTTCAAGTTTCTTTATAGGTCTTTTTTATTACATGATTATCCCAAGTGCAATTATATAGATGTTCTTGCATATGCATATTATTATTTTGAAAAGAACTAATAAATGCTTTGCTTTTCTCTTTAAATAAAACAACATTTCCAGTTTTGGTTGTGGATTGTTTTCCTTCCAATCCTCACTTTGCATCTCTTGTGCTTTTGCCGCTAGCCCATTCAACAAGAGGAGGGCAGAGTCCATCTTGCTGACCTGAAAGTCCATTGGATCTGAGGGGAGGCAGGGAAAAATGTGAGTGTGGGGGCGGCGGGTGGGGTTATGTAGTCTCAACATTAATACAGGAGATGCAAGATGTGTTCGGGAATGACAAGGGAATAAGGGAAGAAAAGTATGATGAGGCTTTGGCGGCTGTTGTCATAGTTATTGGCATCGTCGTCATTGTCGTCGTCGTTGTCATCTTTCTCTTCTTCCACCCCTCTCCTCCTCCACCTCCACCTCATCCTCCTCCTCCTCGCCCTCCTCCATCTTCTTCTACTTCCTCCTCTTCTTCTTCTTTTTCTTCTGAGAATGATATAAGGAAATGTGTGGGTCAATTCAGAGGTGAAACACTCGGCTCAACGAAGGGATATAAGGTTGAGGGGTTGAGCAGAAATGTTCTGGAAAAGACACAAAAATTGGGGAACCTGCATGGATTCAAATTTCAAGCTTTCACGTGTTTGCCAATTTCATAACCAAACTCACTTCTTCTTAGCTTAGCATGCAGAATGCACATCTTGTGCGACTGCCATTTTGGCACCATCTGGGTACATTACTTGGAGAATAACATGCCAGTCACACTGAGCTGTATCTCGCCCATACTGCGCACTTTCGTGTCTGCTCCCTCTGAGCTGTATCTCACCCATACTGCCTTCTCCCAGGCTAAAACGTACAAACCAATGTGGATCACTCACCATCGAAGAGAGCTGAGATAGAGGTGGCTCTGTTGAATGTACTCGCAACGTCATTTATGATCTGGTGTACTTTTTCGGAATTGACTGAAATACGGAAACAAGCATATTATTGTTATTATAGTCTTCTATGCATGGATACATGACGTCCGTTTTCAACAAACAAAAATGATTCTTTAAAGGCTTATAGATTAAGATGTTCGTTCACCTACTCTTGGAAACAGAAAGGCGGATACACAATATTGTCTAATCGTATAAAATGCAGGAACAGAGACAGACTGACAGACAGACAGACCGACCGACAGACAGACAGAGGGAGAGAGAGAGAGAGAGAGAGAGAGAGAGAGAGAGAGAGAGAGAGAGAGAGATTGACACGGTATTGGATGCAGAGAAGAAATAGTGTGTTTGCACAGACATTGTCACAACAATACATTACCCTAGAATTACAAAGTTCTCTCTGCTCAATACCTAGTTTTGAGAAATTTGACGTCGAAAATGTTAAGTTCCGCAACATGTCGAGCGTTTTCGAATGTAATTCTTTGAATATCTTGATAACGTCTCTGAATAATCTTAGATTTTGAGAGAGCAGATAGAACATAATTTGGTTTCTGACCTAACGGTCTTAGTAACTCAAAATTTTCAACATCAAAAACCAATGTCAGTTAGAACTTTGTAATTCTGAGGTAACGAATAAATGGGTCATACTCCAATCTGTTATCTTACCCGCTACCCCAGTTTCGCCTCTGATGACCGCGGCCATTTGTTTAATCTGCTCAGTTTCATTTGCCAGCTCGCCTACATCTATCCCTGTGAAGGAGAAAGGGTCCAGTATACCTGTAAACTGGAGTGACTAAAGCACCCCGGGGTGACTAAGGCATATAGCTGGGAGAATGTAAATACACCTCAAATTGATTACTCTTTTGGGTAATGTACTGAAAAATATACTCAAAATCACTGTTGATATATGGAAAAAAATTCTCAAAATTACCATAACATTTTCCAGTACATGTAATGCCTTAGTCTTCCCAGTTTACCATACGTTACAAGTGGACGGATGGATGGATGGATGGATGGATGGATGGATGGATGGATGGATGGATGGATGGATGGATGGATGGATGGATGGATGGACATACATTTGTCTATTATGGATAACGTATGGAAATGGATATTAATACATGGACATGTATTATGGATGACTGGATGGATAGGTGGATCGGCGAGTAGACAGGTGGATTAGTAGACAGATTGACTGGAGAGCAGATACACAGGCAGGCAGATAGAGACAGACAGACAGACAGACAGACAGACAGACAGACAGACAGACAGACAGACAGACAGACAGACAGACAGACAGACAGACATTTATTACAGAACGGTTATGTCGATGCTGGAGATGTGTACAAGGTGGACCTACCGTCCTGATACTGATAGGGTTAAGGTAACTGAGTGATAGAGAGTTTGTCATTAACTGTGTCAGGAAAAAAAAATCCCCAAAACCCCAGAAAGTTTGTACCAAAAGCCAAAACTAAGATTTCTAAACCTAAATTTACCTTGTCTGGCTTTAACCAGTAATTCTGAAATGGCGTCAAACAGTGATGTCTGATCCAGGCCGCTTATGTCACGCCGAGAAACTACAGTAGTAAATTTATTTTTCCAAAAACCTGGCCCAATGGGGTCCTCCTGTCCAATTATTGGGCGATCATAATAGCCTGCCTGTCGAATGCCGTCAACTTGAGACTGAAGAAAGAGAATACAAAATAAAGCATCTTGCTTTGGTGGTACGTTTCCGGGTTTAAATTTAGTACATGTAACTTTTTCGACGCTCTATGAGAGTAGTTATCTCCTAATTTCTGGTTATGAAATTATTCTTTTTTGTTCAAACAGTTGTTGGAAAATATTCATTTTCGTTTGTTTGATGACGGTGTCTTCATGCATGTAAAGTCAAACTTCGTTGTACCTCTCCACGTTGCACCATCAGCCCTGCTTACCGCCAGATTTTGCCTCAATGTACGAAAAGGAACATAGTATTTGCGCCTTCATATCGCTATCCGCCATCCACCGACTGTCAGAGTTGTACGGTCCTTACTAAATTTGCTGTTGGCCGCCAGAGGTACATACTACAATGGGCATACTCCACCTACACATTTCTCTTGATTTGCGCTGATTATGAAATACTAGGCTAATAGCTTAAGACCTTGGCCAATATTTAAAAAAAAATTGAAATGAGGTTTAAAAGTCACCTGGAGAAACTTCAAAGGAGCAGCGCCAACTCGACTTGAGAGCAAAATATCTGGCGTCGCCAGGTATCAGCCCTATGACTGAAAGGCTGGCGAGCGCCAGTGGGGCTTTTACTTTTATGTCGTGAGGATTCATGCTCAATTCTACATGATAGGTCTAAGGCGGTCCAAGGACTGACAAATATTTACGGGGTCCTCGACACACACAGCCAAGCTTCTGATCCGAGCTTCTTTCAATTTGAATTTAGATCTACTTAAAGTTTAGCTAAAGAGTGTACATCTGATTAGTTGCTTCCTGTTTAATGTTTTTCCTGCACATAGCAAGACAGATCTAGACAGATGAGGCAAGAGTGGCCAGTTTGCCTATGGTATCTACCAATCTACCACATGTCAAGATGGCAATCGGTGGTATCCCGTTATTGTTATATACATGTACCACGTACCGTACCGCCAAATTTATGCTCGCCCCAAGGTAGGCGGTATAAAGAGTTTTAACTGCATTACGGGTACTTGTTGGCCTACTAGAGCTTATAACAGTAATTTGAGTAATAGTCTACAGTGGCCTACCTTGACACCATACAGTCCAACTGCAATAAAGCTTGCCAGAAATGCAAGAGATTTCATAATGCCAAAACTACCGTAAAGGTGAAATGTTTGACCTTTCTGAAATATTTCTTGTCGTGTGAACTACGGCGTAGTCACAGTACACTACAGAATAGAGTGCGCTCTACCTCTTCCATAGCGCTGAATTTTATAGTTTTTGAGCATGTTTGAGGTATTTGTTCTGTTAATGAGTTATATGATGAGCTTTGTCGCCTTCGCGGTCAAAAACTGACACTCTCGCGACATTGTTAGCTCAGAGAGCTGTTGTTTGTTCGGGTTGTTTTTTAAAAATTGTCTCATGATGTCTTTGTTTATACAATACGTGCACGGTCCTCTGGCGTCAGCTGAACTAACATTATTTTTTGCATAGTGAGACAAAAAAGTACATGTATAACGCAAATGCGGGTGAGTAACGAGCAATCTGTCGTGGGTGTTGAAGCAGTTCGAGACACTTCGAGACCTCTTTAATACTTATCCATAATCAAACTGCCTCTGCTGTTGTTGGAAAAGTATTAGCTATGTTTTGTTGCTGCTGTTGTTGTTGTTTTTGCGTTTGAGCACACGCTGATCCCATCGCTGTTGATGTTACCAAGACCCTGTTGACTTCCATGTTGTTGCCATCGATGCAGCCAAAATCACAATATGTAGTTGAGTTCGACCTGTTTTTTTTAGTGGGTGTAGGCCTAAAAGCGTGTTTTGTCAAAAGGAGCGATAGTGCAGGAATATCAAGATGAAAGAGAAGTTTATTTGACATTAAATTTGTGGCAAATAATTTAAACACTACGTGGCATATTTGGTGTATTTAATTTGAAAATTTTATGTGTATCATAATTTTCTGGTACGTAGACAGAACAGAATTGAAAACTACCCTCGTGCATTTTGGGCATACAGGTAGTAGGCCTACACAGTGTCATGCAGAAAGAGAAATTGCTGTAAGTAGAGACTGGGGTTTGTAAATGACGGAGAGACAAATATATATATGTACATGTAAACAATTTACATTTTATTTCACTGTCTTTTTCGTGCCCTATACGACGACCATAGGCCAAAGTGTTGAACAAGAGCCAAACAAATTTCCCTCCAACGAATAAGTCTTTACAAAATCAAATGTGGTCAGTGGCCTGATAGATTGGGCACATATTGTCCTGGAATAGCATTTACCCGGTACCCTATAATTGTATGTTTGGATTAAATGTAAATATAACCACGCCCCATTGGCAGCAAAATCGCGGCAACCAAAGCAAAACATCATATGGACTCGTGTAAATTGTAGAGGCTCACAATAAAAAATCAAAACTTACGTGCTGTACGCAGTTTCACACCAAACCCAAATTGCTAACACGCAAGTTGGAAAACTGTTAGAAAATAATTACAGAACATGCCCAGAATAAGAGACGTCATTTGTTTACCTTAGTAGCGGTTTAACGGCGCTCGCAACTGCATAAGGTCATATGAGCACCAAGGGGTAGATGTCAACAGAGAAGTCCTTAGGGAATCAGACTTACTCTGCTCAACTATCTAGCTTCAACAGCACAAAGTCTGCTTCGACTAACAAGGCACCACGGAAATAGTGGGTCACAAGAGTGTGACAAACATACAAAAGAAGAACAGGAAAAATGACAATAGTAAGGATTAAGAAAGAAAAACCAGTAGTTCCCTGTTGTAGATCAGGCACAGTTATGAGCGTGAGATTGATGAATCAGCCCATTTACAATTCCATTGCGCATGAACGAGAAATGTCCCCCTTTGGGAATGGCCTAAAGGCACTTCAGTCAGTGGCATCGCCCCGAGGGGGGGGGGGGGGATTGAAGCCATTTCTTTCTACATGCACATACTATAAGAGAAAAACAACAACAAAAACAACAAAAACCACCCAAAACCGTACCACCCCCAACTAATTCAGTAATTGAAAACATTGGGCAGGGTACGAAGGACTTTACCTGAACTTATGAGCCATTCTCAAAAGGTGTACGTAAAGCGTTACAACAACAAATAAAAAATATACAATTACAACGTACATTTACTTATATTTTCTAACAATCAATTTTTAAACTTTTCTGATTTAAATATACACACATCTCTCCCAACCTTTTTTGGGGGGGGGGGGGGGGGGTGTTTGTTTGTTTGTGGGTTGTGTTGGTGGTTTTTGTTGTTGTTGTTGTTATTATTATTTGTTTTAGGGTTTTTTGTTGGGGTTTTTTTTTTTTTTTTTGGGGGGGGGGGTTGCAGAGCTATACGAGCATCAATCATACGCTATATAATTCATACGTAATTTCTTTGTGTGTGTGTGTGTGTATGTGTGTGTGTGTGTGTGTGTGTGTGTGTGTGTGTGTTTGTACGTGTGTGTGTGTGCGTGTGTATGGGGGTGCCCACCTGCGTGCACATGCCTATGTGCGTGTGTGTTTGTGTATGTATGTGTTTTAGTTTGTATGGGGTTTTACGGCGCTCGCAACTACATAAGGTCATACACTACAGGCTTCAACAAAAGTTAAGGACCACTTGCAAACACTCTGCTGAGTGGTTTTCTTGGGTCGACCTGCACGTGGGCGTTTTTGGACTGATCCAGTGGCGTGATGGCGCTGCTTCAGGCGGACAATGACAGAGTGTGACACTGCAAGCCGTCTAGCAACTTCTCGGGCTCCAACTCCATCCTCCAGCCATGCCATAGCTCTGGCACGATCACAGTCTCTCAGCTGTTGTAAGGCGATACCGGCTTTTGCGCAAACGGTGGCTTATATTGCCACCAAAGTGAGCACAGTTCGAGACCGTACGTCCATTTATGGCATGAAACAGAAATATTAACTGAGGAAAGTCCTTGGTGTCGCACACAAGTCGATAAAAAACAGCAACTTTGGCTAAAATTCCCCGAGAATTTCCGAGCTGCACGAGGTGGTTTTGGTCCTTTAGGAGGTTTTGCACTAGATATCTACGCGTTGGTAATCCATTAACTCTTTCAGAGCAAACATTTTGAAACATTCCTTGCTGTCTTTTTTTCGGATATTTTTAGAAATTAGGACTGTCTCTCAAAGTGGTCCTTCTTTTGTTGAAGTCTGTATGAGCGCGCGAAGAAACACACGTTTGTTGCATTCGCAACAGTTCACTGCACAGCTGGTCAACTTTATGGCTCTTTTCGTCTTTGCAGACGGTCAATTTAGCTTAAGACGGTCTCAAGGTTGTCTTCATGCAGCTTCTTTCAAGGCTAATTTTTCCTCTTTGAAGCGCAGATTCTGTTGAAGTGCTTGCAAGTCAGTGTCGTAGATCGAAGCTCTGTATTTCCGCTGTTTTCCTTTCGTCACTGGCGCTTCTCAGCCTGGTTGTTTCTAGGGCTGCTCTCTAGCATTTTAGTTCTTTCCGTTACCATTTTCCTCCATGTTTTCCTGTCCTCAGCTATTTCTTCCCAGATGTTAACATCTACTCCAAGCTTAGATAAGCTGTTTTTGCAGGTGTCTTTGTACCTCAATTTCGGTCTTCCTCTTTGTCTCTTTCCCTGGGCAAGTTCTCCACAGAGAAGTTGCTTCGGAATCCGGTTGTCGTCCATTCTCTTGACATGGCCCAGCCATCTCAATCTTTTTAAACACAGGATAGTTGTCATGCTCTGGAGTTTTGCCCGTGCCAACACTTCAACATTTGTAACCTTGTCCCGCCACGAAATGCCTAAGATCTTGGGGCAGCATCTGAGACGGAAAATGTCGAGGCGCTTTTCTTGTCTGCTGTACATTTTACAAGGTCCATGTTTCAGACCCATAAAGGAGTGTGCTGGTCAACTATCAGACTTTAAAATGTTAAAATATTAAAATTCAGTGTAAATATATTTTCGATTTAAAACAACTCTTTTAAATAAAGTAAACATTTTTAACAATTTTATTTCATTTTATAATTTCCCAAAAAGGCCAATGGCCTTCGTAAAATCCACAATTCTGTTGGGAACAACGACGGAAAACAGACCTTGCAATTTTTTGCATTTAAAATATTTCCCTCGGGTCTCTCCGAAGTCTAGATTTTCGGTTAAAATGGTGTCTAATGGTAAAATCTGTGTCGTATCCGACACAGAACGTCTTCTCATCTCCCCGAAGGAGGTATTTATGTATCAGGGCCGTGTGTCCAATGCGTAATTGAGTAAAAATGACTTCGTCTCTTCTGGAGAGGCCCGAAGGATTTCGCGGTCCCAGTTTGGGTTTAATGTTGTGAGGTTTATTGTTTGTTTGGGTTTATTTCAATGGGTCTCCCACAGACTGGAGGAGTACTTTTTTACTTTATTTTTGAAGTCAGTCAGTGGGAGAGTGTTCGTCGTTGATCCCAACAGAAGGGATAAGGATTTCTTCGCCAGGTGATCTACCGGCTCGCCTCCTCGGATGCCCATATGGCTAGGTATCGCGGTTTCAGTCAAGGCGTGTATTTTTTGTTGTAGCCCAACTGTTTTTTAGCGTAGGAGCGTGTAGTTTGTTGAGGTGATGCAAGACAGAGGGTCAGAAAGGATAAGGAAAGATATGTTAGGAGATTTTCTACGGAGTCGAGTGCCATGTCCGCAGAGAAAATGGAGGCTTCGGGATGGAGTCTCCTCTGGAGTGGACTGTTTGAAAATAGGGCTGCCGCGCCCAAACCAGAGTCCGATTTGGAGCCATCTGTGAAGATAAGCTCCGCACCGGGGTATTTTTCTATA